TTTCAGACACACATTATGCTGTTGCCCTTGTGGGCCGCTGAGAAAAGAAAATGTATTATATTGGCCGGAAATGACACTCACAGACTTAAAATTGTGTATATAATTTTCTTTTTATCTCTATTTTTATTTTATTTTATTTTATTTTTTTTTTGACAAATTTGGTTGGGTTCCGGGTCGTTATAATATGATATATGCCTTACAGTCCATTTCAGAGACACATTATTGTGTTATTTATCAACAAAGTCCTTTTTGGTCAGGGTGCTAGATCGAGGAACCTATTGGTAGGGCCCCTTCTGGGACCCTAGCCCTGCGGACCGCCGCATAATAGCGCATAGGCGTTACGCCACTGGCTGAGTGAAGAATCAAGTACCTTTTCAAAATATGATGACGATATTGGCTGCTCACTAATCTTACAGATGAATATCAATTTAAGTGATGAAATCCCATTCCAAAAGTCTTACATCTCCATCCATCGTCGTCCTTATACTGGATTTGTTACGCCATGGGGTACGAGCATTCAATTTGGCCTCAAGAATGCACCTGCAGTTTGCCAAGGGTTTATGGAAAACGCATTGGAAGACGTAAGTCATAAAATTTGCGAGGTGTACTTGGATGACGTTCTGGTTTACAGTACCACTTTTGAAGATCATGTTGAAAATATACCTATGGTCTTACGGCAATTTCATCAAAACGTGGTAAAACCAGCCAAATGTGATTTGTTTTGCAGAGAAGTAAGATACTGTCGTCTGAAGGGTACAGTGCTGATAAGAAAGATGTAGTGACCATGTCCTCATTAAAGGAAACTGTACCCACGACAGTTGGTGATCTCAGAAAAATCCTAGGTATTACTTGTTACTACGAAGGTACCTGAAGGACTATTCTCATAGAGCAAAGCCATTATTTGACCTCTTTCCGAACAAGAACTAAAACAGAACAGCAGAAAAGTTATATCTAGCAAAAAAACGAGTATCTCACAAGGGCCAAATGCCATCAAAAACTCCAATCAAAATGACACCGCAAGATCAAGAAATTGTCAATAACTTAATTGATAATTTATCGGCCAGGCCAATTATGGCATAACCAGATTTTAACCTTCCGTTTGTGCTTCATACTGATCTGGAGATGGGTTGGGAGCAGTATTGTATCAACGTCAAAATGCGTGTGATTGGATATGCATCAAGATCACTAAACCAAGCTGAGAAAAATTATTATATCCATGCAGGTAAGTTGGAATTCTTGGCTATGAAATGGGCTATTACCGAACACTTCCGTGATTACATGTTCTATGCCCAGTCGTTTACAGTTTACACCGAAAAATAACCCTTTGACGTATGTTGTGACTACTGCTAAACTAAATGCCACAGGACATCGATGGGTAGCAGAGCTGGCCAATTTCAACTTCACAATCCAATATAGGCCAGGAAAAGCAAATGGTGATGCCTACGCATTATCGCGGATGCCAATGGACATAAAAAAATATATTCAGCTGTGCTCATCCTAGATCTCACAAGACGTCGTGACAGCAGTGTGTATAAAGGGTTGGAAGGGTCTGGTCAGATTGCGCTCATCTCTACAGTGGCCGATTGACCTGGAACCCATATATCCTGATATTGACGAAGTCTCCATTTTCAGTCGAAACACAATTTTACAGGAACAGCGTAATGACAATTTATTGAGACTGGTGACCGAATATATAAAGGAAAATCATATGTCAACGAGACGTGAACGAGCACAGTTACCATTAGATACTCAACTGTTGTTAAGAGAGTGGAAGAAGTTAAAATTGAGTAATGAAGGACTTCTGCAATGCAATCTAACAACCAAAACACAGCTGCACTACCAACAGCCTTTAGATCACGTGTACTTAAGGAATTGCATGATGGCATGGGATCGGTTTTATTGGACCAGAATGAAGAAAGACATTGAGAGGTGCATTATCAAACAATGTAAGTGTTTGAGGCAGAAGAAGCCGGTTCGCCAGAAAAGGGCACCGATGGTAGCAATTGTAACTCATGAACCCTTTGAATTAGTATCTATAGATTTTCTTCATTTAGAGCGAAGTAAAGTGGGGCGGGGGGAGGGGTACGAATACATTCTAATAGTCATTCACCACTTCACGAATAAGTCAGCAAAAACAGCTACGGACAAGCTATTCAACGACTTCTTTAAGCGATTCGGATTTCCTAGAAGGCTCCACCACGACCAAAGAAGGAAGTTCGAGAATAGCCTGTTCTAGCAGCTGCAAAAGTATTCCGGTGTACAACATTCTCCGACAACACCATATCATCCGGAAGGAAATGGACAGGTTGAGAGATTCAATTGTACAATTCTTAACATGCTAAGAACCTTAGACAAACATCAGAATTGTGAATGGAAGACTCAATCGTCCATGCATATAACAGTACAAAACATGAAACAACAGGCTACTCACCTCATTTTCTACTTTTCGACAGAAAGCCAAAACTACCAGTAGATATTTTATTTGGCCTATCCACCCAGTCTAACACACGAGCCGAACAATTCCCGTATGCCAAGATTGTGTCAGAAGAGATGAAGAAGGCATATAAAATCGCCTCGTATCGCGTTCAAAAGACTGGAATAAAAGGCAAGGAGAGACAAAACTTATGGTGTGGCCTTACAACCAGATGCCCATGTGTTAGTACGATGACTGACACTTCCAGGAGGACCCGGAAAACTAACCAGTCACTGGGAGCCAGATATTGTCGAACGGAAAGGTTATCTGAGCATGGTAATGGTAGAAGTCCTACTTTACACAGACACCATCTAGCCTATTTTGATGTAACTTACTTCCACCCACTCTAGAAACAAACCAGACAGTACCTAAAGCCACACAGAAAGAAAAAAAATCCGAAACGACGAAAACGTAGATTCCAATTCTTCAGATAATGATGATGAGGACTTGGATTTGGTAATTCGACATTTAGAAAATATCCCACACGAGCAAGTAGTGACTTTAAATCCTGATGCAATTTATCTCTCATCATACAAATACTGACCAACAAGAAGCTGTACTACCGGATACAGATAACCAGTCTATTGCTGAATCTGAGAAAACAGCAATTGAACCAGAAGTGGAACAGCTATTAATTGCCAACTGACGATTCGGATGGTGGTGCAGACACAAGTATGCTGAGTATGGGTGACGTGGCACCCACGGTCTCTGAAGAAGATCTTCCGTCAGAGCACGCTCCTGGACGTTCAACTAGAGAGCGACACCCATCTCAAATTTTCACATACATACAGTAATATGGGTACATCAGATCCCTCTTGTATGCCAGTACAAACCGAAGGAGACAGCAATGATGTATGAAGCCGGTGTTGTACCCTACCAATTCCATAGTCAGCAGAAAATATATAGCATGGCTGTTACCACAAGCTAATCGAAATGAGCGGTTCATGTCAGCAACTTTGCAGCAAGTTTAATTTTAGTCATATGATTTTGCTGTTCATTTTTTTCTCTACTTCCTTTATTTTTTTGTATAGGATAGCTTGAGATAGTATTATTTCAGATTAAATACAGACAAACAATACTTTAATTGGTGTGGATTAGATGTGATTATAATTAAGGCCACTTGTTCACTCCTATGAATGCTGAGTGCTTATATGCATTGTTACAGATATAAAATTGCACTGCTAAAACACCTGTCTCTTATACACATCAGATGTGTATAAGAGACAGTCTCATTTACAGACAGAAGGTACGGCCATGGGTACCAAGATGTCTGCTCCATACGCAAATATTTCCATGGCCAACATCGAGTACAAACTTATATCGCCTTTGATTATAATAATAATAATTTCATAACAGATTCTCATCCAGAAATATAACAGAGCTTCAGCAATGGAGATATATATTGAACACCAGCACCATTCATATAAATTTTGATGTTGATCAAACGTTTGTTCAATTGTTTGTTAGTTCCAGATCATTAGAGATCTTTCTTAGCGAGTTAAAGTTCTCGTCATCCAGATTAATCAAACCAGGTACACCTCCTGAGTAAATTTCACACTCATTCATTTATTGGCTGACTTGCTTGTGGCTCTCCACGCTCTCAGTATCATGCCGTGTTCTCATCGAGCTTGTAAGGAATGCTTTCAACATACATACCTCTGTTGAGGTTAAGCTGCCTTTTCCCTAGCCTGGGTTCCAGGCCCTAATTTTAGGTTACTCACTCTTTATTGCACTTAGTGCGCACCATACCTAATTTAATTGGCGTCCCACACTCGATTTCTTTTTTTTTCCGAATTATTCCGTCTATCTCTAAATTAACTTTCTCATTGGTGGCGCTGTCCAGAATAAGAAAAATAACAAATAAGAGACTTGTGGCAAGTCTACCTTTTTCCAAGTTGACAACTTTTTGGGCTTGCTGGAAAAAACGCTAAATAATATACAAGATTCATTGCTCAGGCCATCAGTCTTCGATCCAGAATGGCTGGTTTGGATGTTGTGACAGCAATTTCAGACTTTTTGTAACGTAATGATTAACTGGAATTCCCTGTTCTTCAAAGGATGTAGGTAGGTTGTGGAAGATTTGGGCTACCATAATTTATCATATTTATCAGCGAGCTTAATTATTTTCTGGAGTTTGCCTCTTTATTTTGCGTGAATGATGCCAGTGTGTCGGATTTGTTTCAATTGTGTTGCCATCAAGCATCTGCTAACAACTCTCATTGCATCTTTCAGAACAATCAACTTTTTGTGAATTAAAGCTATGAAGTGTAAGGATATGGTGCAATATGATTACGAAATACTGTTGTGTCGAATAGACAATTTTACTATTTAAAGTAAAGTAAAGTAAAGTTGTTTTTTTTCACGACAACGATAGGACGATAAAAATGCGTTAAGTGTTGAACAATATAAAAGACGCGATGACGTTCGTTGTCGTGTCGTTATCGTGTCTAGTATAAATGTAGCTTTACTTCAGTTTCTTGAGGTCAAGGTGACATTAATGAGAATATTGGTTTACAGGGAGTTGACAGTTTTTTTTTAAATAGAAGCATAGCTTCCAAGTCCCCAACACAATCATTAGCAGTTCGAATTGCCTTTTGTCTGCATAAGCGGTATAATCAACCTCTAATCATCGAAGGCAGATAAATTATGTAAAATAAGAATTAGAGCCAGAACAAATCTTTGTGGATACCATGTTCAAGATAGTTGTTTCTACTCCAATGTCAATTACATATCACACGAAGGAAAAACTGGCATGCAACATCTCAACAAACGAGAGACTGGTTTCTTTGGAGTAGAAACATAACACACAGGAACCTCGCACTTTGATTAAGCTATTAACTCATTGAACTGTGTAAATGACGTCGGGTAATCGGAAGCAGGATTGGTGTTATGAAGGTAGAGGTGTCCAATCACGACAATCAAGATTATATGGATATGATTGGTTGGTTGGTTGGTTGGTTCGTTGGTAAACTCCATGTTTATATTATATCTGACTATAACATCCTGATGTTGGATATTATATGATCATACCATAGAGTAACGGTATACTCAATTATCGTACGTACTCGTCGTAGACTGTGATTTCCTCGGATTTACACTAAATATCAATTTCCGATATTTTTCTTTGAAAGGATCTGTGTGTACGAATGTGTGTATTTAAGGATCAATATCTCATAGCTTTTATCGTTGTGACAATAAAGTTATATCGTATCGTATCGTATCGTGTATTGGTAAGAAAACTTTAAATCATTTTTAGGCTTATATATGTAATATAGTCATGTTTAAGATATATATATGTATATATATATATATATATATATATATATATATATATATGT